CAATTGATGCAGACATTGTACATTGGAGGATATTGGACATTACTTTAATCAAGCTGGTACTATAAATTGCACGATAACTGTGAGGTGAAAATTAGAACTGTAAGTCATGAGTTTCAGTAAGATATTCATTCTTGATTTTTACCCGACACGTTATTCTATCTGAATTCAGATATTAAATTTTGTTTGAATGACACTAACTGTGGTAGTTTTTACGATAAATGACTGTTTTCGTTCTTGAATGTCCAACAATTGGCAGTGGTTTTCGAACCACAGTTACATATGGTTGGAGGAGAAATGAGATTTTGATTGTTTTTTAACTGCTTTCCTTCATAAATGGAGAACACTTCCATAAACTGCAAGTGGTAGTGAGCTTATTGTGTGCATATGTATCGAAGGGACGGTTGTTCACGATTTCTACAACAAGAAGTCTAAAGTTTAGTACTGGTTTGTATTCTCGCCATGAGATTTTACCTTTCCAAGTTAAAGGACCTTTCATTTAGATATCTGATGGAACCTACTGACGACGTCGTGGTTTTTCATTTGCCAAGACATGAATATTTGTTCGTATCTGTGGGATATACGAAATTGACATAGAGATCTGCGTATTAAGTAGATCACAATGAGTGGTGCGAGGTCCAACTTACTAGCTATGGTCAGAGGGATAGGAATTAGGATATTTCCAAGACACCTGAGTACTTCGTGTGGCAGGAGCGAAAACCGACTATTGTCTTTAAGTTATGATGAATCACGAAGAAGATGTGACTGTAGAAAGTTGTTGAACTTGATTCATACTAGTTTCACAAAACTGTGGATAACCAGGGAAGTACTCAACTAAGTAATAATTTTCAGTCATCCTTTGATGCATTTTCGAATGGAAGGTGAAGAGGCAGTTTTTTTCAAACCCCAATGGGTATTTTAAGAAGTGGTTCGAATGCATGATGTTGGTTTCAAGATGGGCACTCTGAACGCCTGCATGGTTGATTTAGAAAGCACATGAGTATCATTTGTGTAATGAGATATCCAGCTGACGTATTAGGGTGGTAGAGTTGGATAATGCGAAATTGAGCCTTCATTAGAGTCATCCTTCCCCATTGTATCTTCCTATTGTCAAAACTCATCTTTGTTTCAATATGATTTTGTACAACGTCATTAAAAGATTTGAGGGGATGGGTTATCTACAGTTCTGTGCCATTATCGTTAGGTAATCATCTTTGACAGTCTATGGAAGAGATTCAGATCTATTGTTTGGGGCTAGAAGGCTGTGAGTCTATATTAACCCGTTTGTAGTAGATTTCTGTGCTTGTCCAGTTTTCTTGCGAATGAGTCGGTTGTTGATGCGGACACCACTTCTTGTGGAAGGTAGTTTGAGGAGTTGACTACTCAATACGAGGAGCAGAACTCTGCAGAGATTATGTTCGTTCTCCGCTTTTGTATCCTCTTATAATGTCCTCTGAGCTGTCCCGCATTAGTGCGAAGGAGAAGAGAAGACAGATCAGGTCCAAAGTCATTTCTTAGAATCCTGTATAGCATGATTAGACCTCGCCTCTGTCTGCGATGGGATGAAGCGAAGAGGTTGAGTTCGTCAAGTCGATCTTCACAAGTCAGACCAGCCGTCACAGAGATCATACGAGTGACTACCCTCTGGTCTCTTTCCGGAAGGCCAGCGTCATCTTTGAGACAAGGGTTTGCCACCTGTGTACAGTTTTCTAACTAAGAATGTATATAAGATGATCATATCATATCACCACTTATTTTTGTAAATGTTTTGCTTAGTGCCTGAAATGTCTAAATCTTCGTGCTCCTACGAATCGACATTGTGCTATGATTCTCAAATCATAACTCACTGTGACTCCTAGATCATTGTTAGTCATTACTGAGTGTGAAGGAGTCCTATGAATATCGTAGGTGTTGCCATTTGTGTGCTGAAAGTGCATAGTCATACATTTACCTGCACTGATAGGCATAAGCCACTTCACTGAGCAGGTAAACAAGCTGTTTACACCTACATTTTGTTTTGATAAACTCGCACTGTCCCAGAATATTGCATAACGCCCTTTGAATGAGTTGTGTTTCATATGGATTTTTGAATTTTCTTTCATTGACAGCAGGCTTACTATCTTCATTATTGTCAGTCATCAGGTGTGTAGGATTTTTCAGAAAGTAACCATTTCCTGGTGTGAATCATGAGTTAACAATTGAATGTTAGTACTCCCGAGGACATAATTTTGATTGATAGTGATGTGCAGGTTGAAAATAAATGTTGTTGAAGCATTTCTGTAAACATGAAGTAGGTGGTATATAGATGTGGAGTGTTAGCATGTGAAGAAAGGTTAGAGCGTGAGTTTTCATCTCATCTCTTTCTCTTCTTCTTCTTCGTCTTCGAATCTTACCTTCAAAGTAAACTAGTTTGGAATGAGTCATATGGTGGTATTTACTGAGCTGACACGCTTTGTTTGTTGTCGAGCCTATTGAGAGAAGTATTTTCACTGTGTAGATGCCAGTCTTCACATGACTTGAGATCCCATAGATTTCATATTTTTCATCAAAGTCATTTTTGTGGTGAGACACTGCAAGTCCATTCCATCTGATCTCCAATATTACGTTATCCTACTTTGTGTAATAATCTTAGTGTTGATTTTGCTTGACGTTCTTTGTGGCAAACTTCATGTACTGGTTTGTTTTGAAGCCAGAGTTCTACCGTAACTTCATCAGTGTATTGACAAAACATCGTTGTTTTGAAATAACGATGGTCTGTTTTAAGTGAGTTGAGTATTTAAGTCAGGTTGTGTGACATAGTAGAAACTCCTGGACGTAGCTGTCCCCCCTGCCTTATTTACTGGACCGATAACTTCATTGAAGTTCATCGTAGTATGGCGCATTAACCACATTCTTGTGTATCATGTTAGTGTTGCTACTTTATTAGAGGAACTGCATAAAGTACGATGCTATATATTGGCCATAATATGATCCCTCACACCACATGAAGCCACATTATATGTTGGCTAGCAGCAAACCATTTCATATACTAGCTATACAATTCCAGGAAAGTCATGCACTCCAAAGGTATCTCAAAAATATATTAATGTATAGAGAATGTAGGATCCCTTTCAGTCGAATCATACAGTGTGTGAGGTGGTTCCCAGCTGATGCACCTGCCTATTTTAGTGCATAATTTAAGCGAACTCGGACAATGTCATACTAATTTCAAATGTAATAACATCAAATGTTTGTAGATTTGTTTGCCAGTTCACAAACAATACTTATGGTCATCAAAATTAAACCTGTTAATTTTCTGTTGATGCTGCAGTAAAAAATGTAGCTATGTAAGCTATTTGTAAACAAGTCTGTTGGATACAATGGGACGTAATTAACCCTCCATGAAACTGTTGGCTACACTTTGTGTTTCAGTCTCAAATATCTTCAACAATAATTTTGAATATTGTCTATTGTAGTGATATGTGTTGATGGTTGTTCACAAAGTGATTGGTTTTCGAATCATCCACAATTCAACCTTTACGTGATATATATAAGTGGCATAACTTCGTGTATATGAATGCTATTGGTTTCTTTCAACTAAGATTTACCTATTTCCAACCTGATAACTAATAGTACGTTTCCAATAGTCAAGTTTAACTCACTCCCTAATCGTGTATATTCAGTGTTATTAGAGTGCAATCGATGGATGTCAGGCCTTCAACTTTGTTAAAATGAAGGTGTGTTGTCTATGAGAAGATCTGTGTTACATAAACTTTTCGATTGTTTCTCACCATACATCTATTCTATATGCTTTCGTTGTGAGCTACTTTCGAAATGTATAAAGATTGTAGAAATGTCATAATTCTGTTAGATGAAGATATGTCTGCATTGAACAGTAGATATCATGGCATTTAATTGACATGATGTGGTACCCCAATAGACAGTGAGAAATATCACAGCATCAGTGTTTTTAATCTTCTAACGAGTTTGTACAGACATCATTAGAGTTCATGAAGGTTGATCAAAACATCCAGTAATGTTTCCCCAATCTACCCCTAATGATATGCACACAAACTTGACAATGTTGGATTCTGTTTGGATGATTTTGCATTTTGAAACATTGTAACAAAATGAAATGAGGTGATTACCGACTATACGATCTATTGAGAATGAATGAGACATTATGTTAACATGTTTTCATACATTGAGGTGTTGTGTTTTACTATTACTTTCTGCATGATGTGAAATTTGTTGACATCTTTGTTTGTAAATCAAGCCTTTATTCCTTAGTATGTAAGTTAGTGCACGTTTTCTATGGTCATATATGTAGCTGTGTGATATCTAATAAAGTTGATAATGTTGAGACGAGACGAGACGAGAAACCGGGCTGGCTTGAAAGATCTCTCATTTCAATCAAGAGGTTATCCTTCATGAAGGAGTTATGGGATTATTAAATCCAGTGTAATTAGTTTATGAAAGCTCACCTATACCTGAGAACACATGACATTTCATTGTGATGAAGAAAGAAATTTATGAAAGTTAATGTGGGATAAGAGAAACTTTTATAAGTGAGATGAAATTTTTTATTATGAGAGTAGTCTGATTATGACAGGAAATGCATAGCATGTTTCGTGTTAATTTGAACTCCTTTTATAAACATCTGTGAACTTCACAGCTCATCATTTATTCAAGTGTTCATTGTTTTCATCGAAATGGCTCTGTGTAATTTACTATGATGAATAACATTTTGACACTATGAAAGGACGAACCAATTAAGTCTACATGATTAATAAGCGTGCAGAAGATGAAATTACTTTGTATATGATTTCATTATGAAGTATTAGTGATATGCTGTGAGTGTAGACTAACGTGTTAGTAGCTGACATATCTCTAAATCTTGAATATTTCACTATTCTGTCTTAACTTGTTCCCTCCCATTCAGCCATATCTTTCTCGACTATTCCGTTGACCTTAACTGTTTGTTTCTGCTCTTCTTCTTCTTCTTTTGCTGCTGTCACTCCATCTAGTGGCGATGAGTTCATACTCTCTTCATGAAGTTCTACATTTGTCTCTCCATTCATCCGCCATCCTCCATCCTTGTTTTTCACTCTGTCATGTAATCGCTTGTCTATACAGTAGGAAATTTTTTTGTCATGTAAGCTACATTGTGTTTGTGTATTTGTGTGGTGTATTCAGTGCTTTTGCGTTGTCAATTATCCCATCTTAGACATGCTAGTCGTGGGAGGCTGATTCCAGTGTAAGTGAATGAGGATTGGAGGGGAGTGAGTTGCAGACATAATTTGTAGTCAGTTTGAGGTTGAGAGCTGTCAGCTGAGTGCTTGACTGGGTGTATATCAGAAGTTAAAATTGTTTGAAAGCAGATTTTACCTCTGACCCATAATGCACTGAGTAATTGTTTTTATTGGTAACTTTGCACCTACTTAATGTGTGATGAGACAGAGTAGCCAGTGGATAAATTTTCTGCCCACACATTGATACTGAATAGGAAATAGGTGTGGGTGATTGTTGGAGTGAGACTGTGACTGTGAAGCAGTGGGTAGTGAGTTTGAAGATCGGTTGGCCTATCAAGGCTTCGATAGTCAGGTGGTAGTATAATTTTAGTTCTCATACAATGGGTGTAGTTCATTGCCTACTACATACAGACAAGATTGTGCACAAGTTTGGTGAATGTATTTCATTTGATTTCGGTTTAAGTATTCAAGATAAGGATTGCAACTTCGGAGTAGAAGCTCAGTTTGCTTTTCAGTTAACCCCTGTTCAGGTTCTCGTTGAAGTGGACATTTGAAATGAAGGCAAAGCCAATGAGATGACAGTTAGACATTCACAATTATTGGTGTATGCACACACATGACCATCATCGGTGATGTGGTTGTACATTAGTTTTAGTAAAAGGAGTAAGCAGTCATGTAGTAGCAGTAGGCCAATATGCACATGCAATATAGTTGTACAACTAGGCATTTTTATTTTCAGTTAAACACTGATAATAACAATAACAACTTTCTAAAAGTACTTTTTAATATTTTTAATCAAGTCGTTGTATGGATGCATAACCTTAGCTAAGCACCATCAAGTACTGATATATTGACCAATACACCTGATTGTGTGTATAACCTATTGACTAGGAAATGAATTTACACTGAATATGTGTAAAAATGAGGCTTATTGTTCATGATTCGGTAAGAGTTTACCTTGTTACCTTGTTGTATGAGTTTGTGGCGTCTTCAAATAACCTGAAGTGGTTTATATCAAGTTGAAGTGTGAAATATGTTGAGAGTGTTCACCTAATCATCAGTCAGTTTTCCTAATCTGAAATATTTTAAAATGTATGAGAGACAGAATTAGTTGTCCAACTCAATATTCTTTTAAGATTGGAGTATAGAGGTGAGTTAGGTTGTGTTACAGGAGTTCACCTCTTTCTTCTCTCTCTCTCTCTGAATCTGCACTAACTTTTCAATAAATTAATAATAAACTTATAAGTAATAATTCAGTTATAATAATTTTAATCTTCTGATTGTCGGATGTCTACGACAGTAGTTGACCTAACATCAAAGGCTAATTAGATAAGAATCATGACTATGGAAGTGGAATCACTTGGCATTCCACAAAAGTCGATATTGAAGTAATGTATTAAAAAGGATAAAAAAGATTAAATTTGAAGAGAGATTGTTTTCGTTTTGTTACATTCCTTTTTTTCTTATATCTGTCTCATTGTAAAGGTGAAGCTTCTTTTTAATTAGCTGTGATAGTAGTAGTAGTATTTGTGGTAGATGAAGAGAGTTATTTGTCGGGAGAGTAGATAAACTATTTCAATAGATCTGAAGTAATTGTGAAATTGATTAGAGTCTGCATTGTTTTGTACACCCACGCAGCGTCTAAGACACAAGGAGTGACTTTCTCTTTCGTGTATATATGCACATAATGTCAAGATAAATAAATATCTGCTTTGTGTGATGTGCTCGACTGGGTTTTGCCAAGTTATGGTGTCTGTAGGGTCACTGTGATATCCGATTGTCTATTGAGTGTGGCATGTAGTGCATAGTAGTTGTGTTTGTCCTACTGTATGACTGTGATTCATGGCGTTTGAAGATGGAAGAGATGAGAAGGCTTCTGGTAATTGACCAGCGTTGCCTTCTTGGTGTATAGGTCATATTCCATGATGTCAGAATGTGAGTAACGTGAAGGTTAGGCGTTGAGTTTTAGAGAGTGAGAAGAGGTAGTCAGTTGATGAGGTTGTGAAGCTTGATGGATTGAGATGGCTGGGTAACTGGTAGATGAGTAACATGTGCCTAGGAGCTTTCTGCCTGTTCACACAATGTTGGCCGCAGTAGGTTCATACTGGGAAGAGCTTAAGGTGGCCAGACTAAAACATGAAATCAATGTATAAAGTGTCTAGCTGTTGGTATGAGCCATGAGGGACGATGCAGACTAGGTGGTTGGGATCGGCGGGATAAAACCCACCTCCAGTGTTTGGAGACTGTAAGCAATATGTGGATGTATATGAATTGGTGGTTAACTAGAGTGTAGTATGTCAAGGAAGCTGGAGATTATGATTAACTGGTCTGATGGACTGTTTATGATAAACAAACAAAGAGGATGATTGGCATTCTACAATATGGCTAAGTTGTCAGGCGACAATTCGACTCACAATTGAGGGCTATATAATGTTTCTAGGTTTAATTATTGAAATGAAACTAGTTGTTTATCTGACTATAAGCCTTATGGTGAATATATTCCGAGACTTTTCATAGGAAATCCTACTTCACAATTCCCACATATTCCGGAACAAAGGTGTCAGTGTTGTATACTACACATTGAATTTATCCTGAAGTGTTTACATGGCTCATTAGTTTTGCAGTAGATAAGAATGAGTTATCTTGTTGGCGGAGACTTGTGTTCAAACTACACTTTGATTTGATTGTGCATACGGTTTACTTATGTGAAAACGTTGGACGGATAGATGCTTCGTATCTTCGGGCACTTTCATATACTGTTGAACAGAATATAGTTAACATTATTTTCTTGTTTATTTTATAGGTCAGAGAATAAATGATTGTTTCCCACCAGCAGTCCGACGTTGGGTCGGTATTTTTATTGCAATTTTCGATGTATTTCTCTTCGGTGGTTATCATTATGGCTTCAATTCGCTTGTTGTGGTGTACAAATCCGTGGGTTTGTATTCATACAACTGTACAGAGAATGGATGTATGTATTATGAAAGTATGTTCGGTGTCACGTTTATTGTTTGGATGGTGTCACAAATGTGCCTTATTGTATTCGCTGGTATGCTGATGGATCTTGTGGGATTGAGGGCGCTGAAATTGGTGGCTACTGTCTTATACTTTGCTGGTACTGTGATGTTTGCATTGACGACTGCTTCAACGGTGCCTCTATTCTATGCTGCTGGAATATTTGTAGCCTTGGGTAGTATATGCAGTCTGATATGTAATCATCAAGTTAGTTCAATGTTTCCACAAATGCGTGGGTTATGCATATCTCTTATCTCTGGTGCTTATGATTCGAGTACAGTTATCGCTTTTGTAATATCTTTGACATACATGTCATTTTCATTCAAATGGTCATTTCTAATATTGGCTGTCTGTTCGCTAATTGTTGGCCTTTTTGTGGCCTTCTTCATTCTTACACGATATTCGAAAGATATGGGAGAATATGCAGCTTCTTCAAGTAAACAAGTAGATGGTGATATGTCTAAAGTGAGTGACTTTCAAGTGTTGATGTTTACATGGATTTTAGCTTTGTGGTTTGATTCCCTTTGTGATTATTGTTTCAATAAACGACTGATTCATAGAGAATAGATAGATATGAGAATGCTATCTGGAGGGGAGTAGTGGTACACATATGTTAGTCAATATGATGGGACAACCTAGTCAAGATATATAGTGTATGGGATGAATTCTGTCTATGAGTACCAACACATGGTGTTTGTTATTGAGTTGACCGAGAAATTTCAATTTATGATTATTATTATTATTTTTCTCTTGGGTTCCTAGTGGAAGATAGGGCTTCAGTAGCACGTCTCCATTACACTCTGCACTCTGCAGTCTTGCTTGACGATTGCCCAGAAGTTTTCATTTCTTTCCCCTGGATGTCGAAGTCGTCGTTTCTCGAGAGCCTGACGTGTGATGTCCCAGAATGGTTTTCTCAGTGTATGCCCAATCCATGTGCACTCTCTTCTGTATATTCGTTGGGCGATAGGTTGTTGGTTGGTTGGTTGCCATGCTAGAGTTCCTTGTTGATTGTTCTTTCTGTCAATCCATCTGATGTTCAGTATCGAGTGGGTGTAGCCAGGTCGCTGTTGATGAATGTGTGTAGTTTTCTGGAAGTGGTTTTGGTGACGCTCCAGGTCTCTGAACCATATAGGGATAGGGACGTGACTGAAATTGGTGTTGAAAATCTGGATCTTGTTCTTTGTGTTGAGTGCAGTAGATCTCCACAGTGATTTCAGAATAATGAAAGCCTGTGTTGCTTTTCCGATCCTGGTTTTGACATCCGTGTCTGTGCCGCTTGTAGTTGGAATGATGCTGCCTAGGAAGGTACGTAGGTGAAAGAGACTACTTCTTTTACGTTTCTCCCGTTGATGGTGATTGGTTCTTGTTGTTGGTTTGGTATCTTCATCACCTCCCGTCTCCGGTGCGTCTTGTGTCAACTTGTTAGTTTTCGCCTATAGATCTTCGAGTGTGTGCGATAAGGCATTAGACGTAAGTCATGGGCGATATCCAAATCTAGTAGGCTCTTTTTATCTGTCCAGCTAGCGTATGCTCCTTTTCACGCTCCTCATAGTTGTCTGCTGCATGATCTAGTTCACCACAATCGGGAAGATGATAGGTGATAGTAGTCAGCCTTGTCTTACTCCTTCCTGTCTTGACTTCAAAGGCATTACTACGCTTTCCATTGTAGATCACTTTCCGACCGATAGCTGCTACCTTGACGTGGTGGTCGGTCTTGCATATCACAATGACCCAACGAGCTATGCTGGTGGAACGCTTGTTCCCTCGAGGTCCTACCATACCAGAAAGGTCTGTTGGATAGTGGTTAGACGAAAAGCAGTTACCGTTATAGTGTAAATTGCTACACTATGATGGGGGTCTGAGGGCGAAGTCGTACTGCTGCTAGCTGGATGGGGTGTGACAGCAGTAAGGTGTTTCCCTTGGATGACCAGCAGTGCCATGCTGATGCTGCCTTCTCAGTGGAAGGGGGGGTTAGAAAAGGTCGGCCCCAAAAATAACACACTCCACCACGCCCCACGGTCTGCCGGGCCGGCGGTGTTGGTTCACTTGTCGTTTCCTTTCGACCATCCGGCCCCAAAAATACAAAAGTTCAAAATAATCATACTCAAAAGGCTGGGTGTGACAGGCCTCAAGCAGATGTCCGATGGGCTCTGCGGTCACACAAATCTCTTTCAGGTACCTTAAGAAGAAATAGCCTTCCACGGTGTGGGCAGCCGGGAAGTGTCAACCGCCCTCACAACTCTGTCAGCACCCAAGTTTCTTCTGACTGCTATCCTCCTCCTCCATCATTACCTTCTAATCTTCCTTCACGTCTCTTAATTAATGATGCTGCATCATCTTCAATTTCTCCTACCTCTGCAGCCTTCGACAACGATCTGAGTCCACAGAACAGCATCCTGGTCTCCTTAAACCACGCTCCAAATTACATATTGGAGCCTTCAATGTCCGCACCCTCCGTCAAATTGGCCAACAGGCTTCGTTGCAAAGACTCTAGCAACTCGGGCATGGATGTGTGCTGTGTTTGTGAGACACGCATACAGGACCCAAGTGTGGTTATTCACCTGACCTCTCCTGACCAATCTGGTGAATCCGCAAAATTCACCCTTCGAGTTTCTGGAGATTCGATAGCTAGCTCTCGTGGTCTTGCAGGTGTAGGTATAGCATTAAGCACCAGGGCAGAAAACTCACTACTAGACTGGATCCCAGTTGATAGTCGCCTCTGCGCTATGAGGCTGAACGGCACAGTGAGAACTAAAAGGAATAGTGAGACTCGCCGTTGTCTCTTTGTAATCTCTGCTTACGCACCCACTGACTGCAGCTCGGATGAAGTGAAGGACGAGTTCTACCATAAACTGTCTAACCTCCTCTCGAAAGCCAAACGTTCGGACGTAGTGGTTGTTGCAGGTGACCTCAACGCACAGGTGGGTAGACTGAGTGAGGCAGAAAGGCACTTAGGTGGCACTTTCGGAATCCCAGCTGAACGTACAGATAACGGTGATCGCCTATTACAACTATGCTCAGATAACCGCCTATTTTTAGCCAGCACAAATTTCAGACATAAAGAAAGGCACTGTCTGACCTGGCGTCCACCGAGCTCGACTCAGCGATGGACACAGATAGACCACATTGCTATTAGTCATCGCTGGAGAGGATCGGTGGAAGACTGCCGCTCCTTCTGGAGTACGTGTTTGGACAGCGATCATGCGTTGGTCCGAGCACGTATATGCCTGCGTCTCAATGGACGTAGAAAAAATTTGGCAACAAAACCACTACGAGTTCTGCTGGACAACGAAAACACCAAAGCCGTGTTCAGTGAGAAGTTGGCTAGGCAGTTATCGGAACAAAAGACTGTCACTCATCCAGAAGAAGCTTGGTGCCATCTTCAGTCTACTGTAAAAGCAGCACTGAAGACTGTAGCCGACTCCAAGATAATGGCTAAAAAGAGCCAGTGGATATCAGCAGCTTCTTCCAAACTAATGGATGCACGTGAATGCATCCCTGCAGGCTCTGAGTACAATGAAGAGCGAGCGCAACTTAAAAATAACTGACGAAAAGTCTGCGCAACGATCGTGAACAGTGGTGGGCAGCGAAGGCTAAAGAGATGGAAAAGGCAGCGGCGATCGGTAACAGTAGACAGTTATTTAGACTTATTAAGGAGACTGGGGGGAAATGGTCAACAACAGTTAGTGAGGTTATAGCGGAGAAGGACGGATCTGCGATTCACTCGCAGGGAAGGCGACTGGACGATGGGCAGAACACTTCGAGGAACAGTTTAACTGGCCTCCAGCCACGATTGCGCTGCCCGCTATCCAGTCGGACCCTGAATGGGACATAGAGACAGGCCCCCAACACTAGAAGAAGTTGAGAAAGCGGTAGGTAGCCTGAAACGGGAAGGGCAGCAGGACCAGACGGACTACCTGCTGAGGTATACAAGAATGGTGGTAGAGTTCTCTTAGTCAGGTTAACGGAAGTGTTAGCCAGTATATGGGAATCAAATACGATCCCCTCCGACTGGTCTAAGTCACTCATCATCCCAGTCTTCAAGAAAGGCGAGAAGTCCTCTTGTGATAACCACAGAGGAATCAGCCTGACAAACATAGTGTCTAAGATCCTAAGTTCTATAATTCTCCGACGCCTGAGTGGAGCTCGGGAACAGCAAGCCCGAGAAAACCAGGCAGGCTTTAGACCTGGCCGTGGATGTATCGACCAAATATTCACACTGCGCCAGGTCCTGGAACATAGGCATGCTTACAGACGCCCGACAATAGCTGTATTTCTCGACCTGAAGGCGGCATTTGACTCCGTTGATCGAGAAGTCTTATGGCAATGTCTGTCACTGAAAGGCGTGCCTAGTAAGTACATCACCTTATTGAAAGCTCTCTACTCGAACACTTGTGGGCATGTTAGAGCCTATGGTGAGTTGTCCAGGGAGCTATACTCATCAAGTGGTGTCCGTCAAGGATGCCCACTATCCCCATTCTTATTTAATTTTATCATAGATATTCTTATGGAGGTTTCCCTCTCGTCACCTAATTACACAGACGTTGACCCATCACAGGTGAATTTTCTTTAGATCTAGAATATGCAGATGACATAGTCCTGTTAGGTGAAGACGCTGACAAGATGCAGAGTCTTCTGAACACTTTGAGTGGGAATTTGAGAATGTTTGGGATGCGATTTTCACCACCCAAATGCAAATTTTTGCTCCAGGACTGGTCTTCAGCGGTACCGCGGTTAACAATAGAGAGTGAAGTGGTTGAGTGTGTTGACCACTTCACTTACCTGGGAAGTAGGATCAACCCTGGTGGGTTAGTTGCCGATGAGATTTCTGCACGGATACAAAAGGCTCGATTGGCTTTTGCCAATTTGCGCCACCTATGGCGCCGCCGTGATATTCGTTTGTCTATTAAGGGTCGCGTGTACTGCACAGCAGTCCGCTCTGTTCTACTGTATGGCTGTGAAACATGGCCATTGAAAGTGGAGGATACAAAAGGCTTGGGGTGTTTGACCACCGTTGCCTTCGTAGTATAGGACGTATTCCGTGGTGTCACCATGTGAGTAATGCAGAAGTTAGGTGTAGAGTTTTAGGGAGAAGAGGTAAGTCAGTTGACGAGGTTGTGAACCTTCATCGACTGAGATGGTTGGGACACGTACTACGTATGCCTAGTCACCGATTGCCTCGTCACACAATGTTGGCTGAGGTGGGTCCAGGCTGGAAAAAGGCCCGAGGTGGCCAGACTAAAACATGGCACCAATGTATGAAGTCTCTGACTGTTGGTTTAAGCCATGTAGGACGATGCAGACTAGGTGGTTGGGGTCGGCGGGACAAGAGGAACCAGTGGTTGGAGACCCTAGGTGATATGGCTCAGAACCGAAGTCAGTGGCGCAGATGTATACACACATTATCCTCATCTTAACAACGCTATACCGAATCTCACCATTTTGTCACTCCTCTTTCCTTTCTTCTGGTACTTTATATTTCTTTTGACTGCATTCACTTATCTTCATCCTTCACCTCACTACCTTTTTACTTGATGAACTGACGTGAGGTGTGGCAACTCGGACCGTTACGCAGTAATGCCTGGTCCTATGTTGATAATGATGATGATGATGTAGATCACTTGGAACGTGGGGTCTTCATATAGCTGCTGTTGAATGAGTTTGGTAAAGACTAGTGGCACCGCGTAGTGTTGAAGCAACTGCCTGCTAAATTGCTTCTCGGTCGATGCTTTCGAAGGCCTTTTCAAAGTCGATGAAGTTGAGGTAAGGTAGAGAGTTGACTGGCATTCTATACTCGGTTCTATGATGATGCGTAACGTAGGGTTGGAATTTGATCCGCACATGATTTGTTCTTCGTGAAGCCAGTCAGCCAGCTTATTCCGGTTGTAATTTTGAATCCACAGCATCTGTCTAGGATGATGCGACCTAACTTTCTGCAGTAGTGATGTGAGCATTTCCGCTGTTGTCTCTGCGTCTATTTTCAGCGTTTCTGGAGGAATTTTATCTGGTCTTGCTGCTTTCGTGTATTTCAGCAGTTTTATAGCATTCTGTCGAAGGACTTGGTCAATTAGTTCACTAGTTATTAGCGCGGATAAAGATGGAAGGTTGGGCATAGGGCTAGTCACCTTATCCCCTCCCCCGAATCGCCAAGGAAACTTCATTCAAAGCATAAAGACAATTCCAATAGGCGAAGTAGGGAAAGTAGAAGATTGAAGTTAAATGATTATTGATTCAATTTGAATAACTTTCTTATTTCTATTCTTATTCATATAATTATCGATTATATTCACTGATATTTTCATTTGTTAACAGGATCCTTCAAGTAATGATGAGCCTTTATCTACATCTACAACAATTGATGTATTCAATGAAATCTCTTTAGTTCTAGATGAACGTTATCCAACCTTAAAAAGTTGTCTCTTTTCATCTTCTTATCTATTAATTAATATTTGGTTCACTTTGGGTTTATTTCGTTTCTCTTTTTATTTAAATCATTTTGTTAAACATATCAGTAGTATGTTTAACAATAATGAAATAATGAAAATTCATTTATTAACAGCATCATCTGGTTTCTTTATGTGTGGTTTCTTTATAGCTCCGTTAACTGGTACTATAATTGATTATTTTTTAAGAAATTCCCGTAAAAAAATTCAGATTATCCTAATTCATCATCAAAATAATAATAATCAAGTTGATTATTCTACTAGTAATATGATTTATTATACTCTAGTCAATGGATTGGTACCATCATTAAGTTTAATGGCAATATTTGCTATACTATTAAGTATAATGATGTTTATTCCACATTATATAGCATGTTATGCTGGTTTCTTATTTCTTGTTGTTATACGATCATTATTGTTTAGTTCATTTATTAGTTTTCTATTATCTGTTTTCCCTATACGATATTTTGGTACATTGAATGGTATCTCTAGTACTATAGCTGGACTATTCAGTTTAATTCAATATGCATTTTTAACTACATCACCATTTATGGATAATATTATCACATTGGCTATATCATTGAGTATATCCATTACACCGATCATATTCTTCATTCAATATAAGAAAGAGAAGTAAATAATGAACTATTGTAATTCTCTTATGAAATAAATAGATAACTACTAGTGTTGATTATGACCAAGAAGTTGGTTTTTTCCTGAGTTGGGTGGATGGGTTTGAGTGTTTATCAGTGCCTATGGGGTGGTGATTTGCCAACAGATACTAACTCGATACAACTATCCTTCATCCCATGGCACCACGTTATAGACTGACCACCCCTCTTTGCTTCTTCTATTGAGTCTCAGGGTTAGTGAACAATGAACGGTGTGGAAGACGTTGGGACGATCAGCGTAGAATGTGTAAAAGCCAGCGAAGTCGTCATATCCAGATGACTTGATTTGTTGAATGACGATCTCCAAACCTTCACTGGATGCTAGCGATCCTACGGAGACATGGATGATCGAAGACATAGAGTCATTGTATATCCTCAGCTTGGAGAGACGTAGAGCAGAACAGACCTCATCGAAGCTTAGTAAAGCCGTTTTTTACGGTTAAACTAACGTCACGATGTTGTCAATATTTACAGAGATGATATGTGAATTTGCACAGAAGTCGTAGGTGGTAATGAATTAGTGGGACGCCAACTGGAGGAAGAGATTGAAGTGTATTGTTCTGGCTTAAATTTCAGTTGACTATGGTTGGTGTGAATGATAATGTGGAGGAATAAAAGACAGTGAATAAGGACAACGGTGTTGAATTGTTCATGTGTGAGAGACTTTAGCCAATATCTTTCCCAATTCTGATGTTGTTTTTTTCCAAAGATACTCTCATGTTGATTGGACACCAGTCAGAGACAGCTGTATCATATATTGAACAGAAAGAATACAACATAAGCTGGTCTGAGAGTATGATGATGATATTTGTGATGAAATGAGAAGGTGGATGTTAATCGCTATGAAGGCTGAGAGATGTAAGCCATTTCTGTAGGAGTTTCACATCAAGCTTCTTTAGTGAATTCAATTGAAGACTCAACACTCCCTATGGAATATCATAACAACCTAATTTTCACTGGGTGACACCCCCGAGTAAAGAGTAAATGAAATCAGCTGAGTCAGTTGAAAACAATGAGGCTTTTTTGATGCATATATGTACATGTGGCGATTGAACAGGAGATAGAAATGGACTGAGTACCGTTACGATGTTCGTGGAGTAGGTAATGAGCTGCACCAACTGTTTGAGAGATAGTGATAGTACCTGGTTGCTTAGCTGTGCGAACCAGTGACTTACTGTTTGAAAGGTGACTGTGTTATACAATGAGTCACAGTCGAATTACTAACAAGTAAGAAGAAGGTGACACCAAAAGCAGCGATAATTGACAATGAATAGGATAAAGTTAGTTAGGAAGAATGGAAGTGCGTGAATCCAGTCAACCGTGAAGATGTCAGAAAGGGTGAAGAAATACAAATGAGCAATAACTGGAAGAAGAACATAAGTGTTTAATCATTGAATAAGTAAGGCATCAATAGACTGACTGGTGAAGGCAAACTTACTCGAGGAGTCTATGCTTTGACAGATGATTATAGAAACTTTAATTCCCCCTTGTTTGAAGACGTTAGAAAGAAAGGAGACCTTGCTGATAGTTAACAATTCAACAGACAGAATGGTGAATTAACTAACATCATGGTATGCTCATACTGTACAATTGTCAGGTAGAAATTAGTCACTGCTTAGAACTACACAACATGATTATGATATACACTTGTAATCAGATAAGGAATGAGATTTGAATGTTCGGTGGTTATTTACTTCACAATGTATGGACTATATAAATTCAATGGTTATCTTGTTTTCTCACCTAATAATGATAGGAATGAATTTCTGACTTGGGAGAGGAATAAAGCGAACCTCCTATCAATGATATTGAAGACAGAAATCAGAGTTGAAGTCATACTCCATGAGTAAGCATCGAAGTGTGAAGTTCTATGCGGTGGAGATTAGCTCAGAGATGTGAATTCAATTGTACTTTAAGAATGATAGAAAATTAGTCAGGCAATGTGAAACAATCTCCTTGGAATGAAGACAATGATGTACAACAAACATATATGCATTTCACAGGGTATCTGTACTTCAAATGGGGGTTAGGTGGCTGGAGACAGTCAGAAGACAAGCATATACCTTTGTCTCATACTAACTGGGAATCGTCAGCAAAACATTTCTCTAAACTCATGAGGGTTGATGCTGTATGTCTGAGTTAACCACGTCGCTGGTATTTTATTACTGGCTTTAACCGTTTGGGGGAGGGGGGCAATGCCCAAGTTAATGTATGAGGGTTGATCTCACAGCCGCTAACACCACACTGGATGAATCAGAGACAAGATGAATTTTGATGACCATCCCGCCTGGTGTACTACTATTTGTATTTACCAACATATATTGGAAGTGTACAAAGCCGTAGAGAACGAAGGCAGACAAATGAAGGATATTCGTGTGTCTCATTCCTTTTGTCTATGGATACAACATTTGCCCCTTCTCTCATATGATGGATGACGATAGTTGGTCTGCATCATACTGATCGGTTTCTTCAAGGTTGTTTACTTTTACTGAAGGTGGTTATGAGAAGACGTAGATTGGAAGCTGATTGACTTCCACGTTATTTCAACATATCTGATTGGCGTGTAGTTTCTCACACCCACTTTAACATAGACAGTATCATCTGGTTTAAAGGATACAGGCTTAGTCCCGCATGTTTTTTATTATATCAGCACTGTATACTTATGTCCCAGCTTCCTTTTGTTCACCTTAGGGAGCATAGCGTCTAGAATCAGTTGGAGTTTTTAGTCAAGACGTGCTTGCATAGGTGAGGGGTTTTTGCTGTTGATCTGTTCTGCGGATAAGAATTTAGAAAGTCTTCATCTGATGTCACCTCTACTTTGTAGGTTTATCAAGGATGTTTGGGACGTGTTCACTGAACGTTCAGCTCGACGATGGGTTGGTGTTACACGAATATGATCTATAACCTTTAGGTTTGCCTGAGTTGGTTTGTTATTGACGGAGCAGACGATTCCATCTTTATACGTGTATGCTGTTTAATGTGGGCAGTACATCACAAATTTGAATTGTCTACAGTTCCAACATGGAGATGGAAGATGTAGATGCGTGTGAATGTTGACTAGTCGGGCAATATGTGAAGTTCTGTTTCAAGGTTCACTGGTCATTGGGATTCGGATGAGATCTCGTGAAGTGTGGTATAACGATTGAATTCAATTGGTGATAGTAGATGAGTACAAGTATCGATTTCTGATTGAATCCAAAAAGAAACATTGAACATTTAAACTATTCCTTAGGTGTTAGTGAACATTAACATATTTATGGTTAACTCAGATGGATAGAAAAAGTTATCGAAACCCTTGTTTATGTGATGGCTAATTTGAAAGAAGTGTGTACCTGTTTTGAATGGGTTCAGTATATGGATCCAACTTTCGAATGTGATATCTTTCCTACTCTGGTTGTTATTACTGTGTATTTTGTTTGACTCCAGTGACTTTCACGAGGATGTTAGTAACTGATGAATTAACTAATCAGTTCTGAGTATTTCGTTTGGGAAGGTAGTTAGCTTTTTGAAATAAAATGACGAAATGTAATTGGTCATTTCAGGAGAGTAGTTAGGGTGGTCAAATGACTTAGAGAGAAGTGCGTGGGTGGCATTGATTGTTACTACACAGAAAAGATTTTCGACCATTCAGTTCAACCAGTATTGAAATCATAGACGTTACCAATGTGGCATACAGGTGAGGATCGATCTGTGGTAAGACTAGATTAGATCTATTGACTGATAGCTATTGGAGTGTAACCAATATGATGTTGTCCAGTGTAGAGTTCTGTTAATCATATCACTATGTAACTGATCATAGTGATGTATACTGATAGATGTTGATTGTGTATAGATGGATGGAATTGGCAGTTATCGGAACAAAATACTGTCACTCATCCAGAAGAAGCTTGGTGCCATCTTCAGTCTGCTGTAAAAGCAGCACTGAAGACTGTAACCGACTCCAAAATAATGGCTAAAAGGAGCCAGTGGATATCAGCAGCTTCTTCCGAACTAATGGATGCACGTGAATGCCTCCCTGCAGGCTCTGAGTACAATGAAGAGCGAGCACAACTTAAAAATAGACTGATGAAAAGTCTACGCAACGATCGTGAACAGTGGTGGGCAGCGAAGGCTAAAGAGATGGAAAAGGCAGCGGCGATCGGTAACAGTAGACAGTTATTTAGACTTATTAAGGAGACTGGGGGAAAAGATCAACAACAGTTAGTGAGGCTATAGCGGAGAAGGACGGATCTGCGATTCACTCGCAGGGGAGACGACTGGAACGATGGGCAGAACACTTCGAGGAACAGTTTAACTGGCCTCCAGCCACGATTGCGTTGCCCGCTATCCAGTCGGATCCTGAATGGGACATAGAGACAGGCCCCCCAACACTAGAAGAAGCTGAGAAAGCGGTAGGTAGCCTGAAACGAGGAAGGGCAGCAGGACCAGACGGACTACCTGCTGAGGTATACAAGAATGGTGGTAGAGTGCTCTTAGTCAGGTTAACGGAAGTGTTAGCCAGTATATGGGAATCAAATACGATCCCCTCCGACTGGTCTAAGTCACTCATCATCCCAGTCTTCAAGAAAGGCGAGAAGTCCTCTTGTGATAACCACAGAGGAATCAGCCTGACGAACATAGTGTCTAAGATCCTAGGTTCTATAATTCTCCGACGCCTGAGTGGAGCTCGGGAACAGCAAGCCCGAGAAAACCAGGCAGGCTTTAGACCTGGCCGCGGGTGTATCGACCAAATATTCACACTGCGCCAGGTCCTGGAACATAGGCATGCTTACAGACGCCCGACAATAGCTGTATTTCTCGACCTGAAGGCGGCATTTGACTCCGTTGATCGAGAAGTCTTATGGCAATGTCTGTCACTGAAAGGCGTGCCTAGTAAGTACATCACGTTATTGAAAGCTCTCTACTCGAAGACTTGTGGGCATGTTAGAGCCTATGGCGAGTTGTCCAGGGAGCTATACTCATCAAATGGTGTCCGTCAAGGATGCCCACTATCCCCATTCTTATTTAATTTTATCATAGATATTCTTATGG